TGGGGGGCTTGTGGCAGAGCCCCACACACAGCATGGGGTAGTAGGGGGCAGCGGGAATCACCCCCCCTGTGGGGCAACATCCAGTGAGTTGGGGGCTTTTTTTTTTTTTTTTGAAGTGCCAGGAGTGCGGGCAGGCAGGACAAACATTGCCGTGCTGGGAAAGTGGATGGAGGATGGGCCTGGCTGATTCGCAAATCTCCAAATCAGATTCTGTTGAATCAATTTGGGACAGTGATTCGAATCACCAACGCAAATCACTGTACCCCAAATCGGCCAAATCCGAAGTGACTGTTAGCCTCTTCACACAGGTCTAATGCATGATATCATTTGTAGATGTAGAAGGCCCTAGTTCCAACACCTCTTTCTTCACAAATGCACTGGTAACTTTTCTGGTCACCCTATACTTGTAAGGATGGCAACCATCTTCAGGTCCCCACTGAGGATACTGAAGGAACCAAGTCATTCAACACTAAAGTCTTGATAGAGACTTGGCCTATTCTCCAAACAACGTGATAATGGACCCAGGCAGACTATGCTACTGTTTAACTCCAAGCCATGGCAGCCCTCTCCTCATGTTTGGCAAAGTGAAACTCCAGGTTCTACACAAAGGGGCAGAGTACTTCTTTATATATCCATACCCATCTTCTCACATAGTGATATCAGAAAAGGAGGAAGCACATCAGTTTTCCAATACATAGGAAGTGTAAAAGACTGGATTTGTTGGAATATATGCAAATATTTTGATGTCTTTGGTGACAGATCTGACCCAATTCATATAATTCCAGTGTCAATCGCACCACTTTTCAGGAAGTGCTAGGTCTATCAGGTATGTGAGGCCCCCTACAATTGATCAATTAATCTTGGACATAGTCCCAATTGGTTATACCATCCAGTTCATCTGAATGTCTATTTCCAAATCCTATTCCTGTGCCTCCTTTCATGAGATCAATAAAAACCTTTAAAATCCTTATTTCAACATAAGAGAAAAGAGTTGCACCCTTTTCTTTGATGTTGAAGGGATTTTTTTTTTTCATAAAGCCAAAGGTAAAAGGGAGGTGATGGCCTAGTTCAGTTCTGGAGAAACTCGTATCATTCATCCAAAAACTGAAGTTCAAGAGGGTGACACCAATTACCATAATCCCCTTCCTGGAACTGGGGGACCAGCTCTTATCTATTGATCTGATGAGGTATGCCAGAACATTTTGGTGAACAGCCTTCTGCCTATATACACTCATCCATCATACACCCATCCATCATGCAGCCATAAAGGAAGTATCTGAGACAGGATTCAGTACAAGGGTGTTCATCCAAATGTTTCAACTGGTAGTAAGGAGTCTTGGCAAAGCTTTATGTGGACAAGTGGCTAGTGAAAGGAGCATCTTCTCTGCAAGTGTCTAAAGACATTAGAAATGTAAAAATCTAGAACTCCTGGTTCAGAAATGATTTTATTAGACCAACTAGGAAACCATTTTTGCATTTTTGTCTCAGGCCAACACAGCTACCAAGTACATCCCTAAAGACATTAGACACATTTTCTGTTTGGTCTAAGACTCAGGTCAGAAACTAAAACCCCCAAAATAAATTTCTTGTCAGTTCATAGACTAAAATTAATAGGGATGTTCTGGACTCTGTATCAGCCACAACATACCACCCTCAGCACAGAGTCAAGAGTGTGGTCCACCTGATCTCAGAGGTTAACAGAATAGAAAGGGAAAGGGAAAAATGTGTTAACAGCAACTTTGACAAACCAAACTATTTAACAGTAGTCCAAATTTCTTTGGCAGTAATCCTGAACTACTTCTCCTTCCCCAGCTGAGTTGCAGACTAGGTAGCTGCCACTACCTCCTTCCTTCTTCAGATCATAGAATCATAGGAAAGTACGGCTGGAAGGGACCTTACAAAGTTATCCAGCTCCCTGCTAAAGTCAAAGCCATCCCTGACTAGACCATCCTATTTACAGTGTCTGTCCAACCTGCTCTTGAAAATTTCTAGGGATGAAG